CGCTGTGCGGTCACTGTCACTGGTCCCGCTTGCTCTGTTCGAGGACATGCCCGGGCTGCAGGGACACCTCTGTGGGGCTCGTTGGCTCTGGGCAGGCTCCCACTCCTGGCAGCATTGCTGGAAAGCTCAGCCCAGCCAGGACGGCTGAGCACGTACACAGCTCGTGTCACCCCACTGATACCTTTCCAATGCAGACATGGGCTCCAGCCCTTCTGCTGGAGCGGTTTGCGACCCTTCATCAGGGCCAAGACCCCCCCCAAAAGGTACCAGACCTCCTTGGTGCTGCTCAGAGCTCAACAAGCGTAGGACCCTTCCCAGGGCAGGAATCGGATAGGGAGACAGGGACAGGAGGCACCTCCGTGGGGATCAGCTGACTGCTCCGGGGTGCTCGCTGTCCCCATGGCCACCGGATCAGGCCAGAGATCTGTTGCTTTGGGGACATTTTCCCCCCGCTGTGGCCAGCACAGGCTGCTCGGCGAAGGAGCGTAAGATTGGAGGGGGGGGCCAAAATAAGCCACAGGCCCCTCGCAAAAAAAAACTGCCACACGCGATTTCGCAGCCTGTTCCAAACTTCCTCCCGAAGTGTGATTTTTTTTTTTTTCCCAGCCTGAAAAATCCTCGTCTTCCAGCCCGTCGGTGTAGCCGAAGCGATTCTCACCCTGTCGTTGCTCTCGGTGCTTTTTCAGTCCTCCTGCATCCCCTGCACAGTGGGGATGGATTCAGGTGTGGGAGGACGGCGGCTTTATACATAGCAACGCTGCCTAGCGCACGGCTGTCATTTCTGTAACCAGCCCAGTCCTTTTTCCTGCCTTGCTGCCTCTGAGCATCAAATCGGGCTTTTCGGTGAGATTTCTGCCCTGAGCCCAGGGCATTTCCTAGAAGCAATATTAACTTAGAGCTCCCTGTCCTGTGCAATTTGGGTGGGGTTTGCTCATCCAGTATCGACCCTGAATTTTGTTGTCCCGTTTCGTGCCCAACCACTCGGCGTCGTGAGATTTTTTTCCCCTCTGGCTTTTTGTAGCCAGCTTTAATATTGAAAGGCTTCGTAGCCTCAGCAAGAAGGGTTCAGCTTTGCCAGCTCTCCTGTTCACTTCTCCCTGGATGTTTCCTTCTTTCCCTGTTGTGAATTCCTGTCGGCTGGCAAAGGCAGAGATTTTAGGTGATTTTTGTGCCCTAGACACAGCAACAGCAAAACAACATTGGAGATCGTGGATAGGACAGAAAAAGCCACGAAATAATATCCCCTGAATCTCAAATGCCTCAAGTTTCTCCCAACCTGTTGCTAGATGCTAGAAGATGATACCGAAAACATTTTTACAGTGCTGACAGCTCGAACCGCAGCTTCGCGGGGTCGTTCCTTGCTGCAACGCCGAACCCACCAGTGTGCAAATGGGTGCTGGGTGCTGAGAGCCTGTGACGACTCGGCAGGACTTGGGTCCCCGGCAAGACACACACGGCCACTTGTGCCTGGGAGACCTCGGGGACCTGGGGGTGCACAGGCAGCGATGGCATCCAGTCCTGGGCAGCGATAGCAGCCCACAAAGATTTACAGGCAGGGGGGGGGCACAGGGGGGGGGGCTC